ACTGATAAAACTGCAATTACAAACCAAAAAACCTTCCAAAAATAGTTAAATAAATATAAGCATAGTTTCAAGAACTAGCAGATTATATCAACAGTTCATCAAAAAATACCCGAAAATATCACCTGAAAAATGTTGAATGAGATCAAGAAATTAAAAATAACGCTTAAAAGCAAAAATCATAATGAACTGTACAACACTCAACTCTGTCTATGCGCGTCACCTATACCTTTTTAGCAAACTCCCAACAGTCAATCCGAACGTTACAGGCAGAAAATTTACAAATAAACCAAAAACTTTGTATGGTAGAAATACTTCTATAAATTTATGACTGTTCCAACATTTCAAACGGAAACACTTGTCATTTAATTTTGCTAAATTATTTGTTGAAACAGGAAGTTATTGTGACAAAAATTTTTGATTAAAACTATTACTATAGAAAAATATAGGCTAGGCACAAAGAGCAAATTAGATTAAAAAGACGAAGAATAATTTCACAAAACCCGTAACAATTACGACTATGGCAGAAATAGCTGCAATGCCATAAAAAACGTTCCTTCCATGCCTTTTCCTATGCCAACTAGCAACTGTTTTTCCCGAATAGCAACTTTCAATAAATTTTCCAAATCTGAAGGCTTCATGCAATCCATCCTCAATCGATCATAAATTTCATCACTCATACTCCACAACTTTACAATAGCTTCATGGATAAGCTTTCGAGCCCCCTCCCTGAAAGTGATAAAGTTCAAGAATTTAGGATGAAAAACTGCTAAGTCACAATAAAGACCATTAACTTAATCTGAAGTAAAAATTTACTTCATTACGAGGCTGTTTAAAAGCCTCATCAAAGAACTGACGTGCGCCTGAGCCTCCTCAATAGTTCTTGCACCACGAATCAATGGCAAATGTCTCGAAATTAATGAACTCAGCTAAAAGTATACGAAAGAGTATTTGAAAAACCTTTATTGTAAATTCTGAGCTATGTGAAAACGTCTTTAATAAAATAAGATGGAGAAATACGTGGGTAAAAAAGAGTTCTGCCATTATTGTCAGCGGTTGGGATATCACACAGAGAAGTAAATTAAATCGTCGTTTGTTAAGGCCTAATTTTTCAACATTGGTGTCTGAAACAACAAAAAACGCTGTTAAATTCCAAGGAAAAGAAGTTTCAAATTTAAATATTAGCTTCAATAAATTTAGGCACACTAACATTCAATTCTGATTTTTGACAACAATTCACTAGCTCGTATCAACTGTAATAAAAAGCGGAGGCATCTGTTAAACGATTCAATCAAACCACTACTGATGACATAATTTAAAGGCCACTCCAACTGGAAGATAGAACTATTAAAACTTTTTAAACTTATTCTAAAAATTATACCCATTATTATACCTCTAAAATCCATCAAACACAAATAAGAAAGTGGAATAAATAACAGCTTTCATATACTAGATAAAAAAGTTCACCCTTGGAGCAATAAATAAATCGTCTAAATAACCAGTTGCACAAGCAACCGACCATCTCTCACAGCTTTCAGTACTTAACCCGGAAGAACGTAAACTATTGTGGAAGGAAACAGTAATATCACAATTTGATGACTCTCTGTCGGCACCAAATAAATCATATGCGAGATCCCGCAACGAGAAGCCAGTATAAATTTGCTAGAATTTTCGTTGATATAAAACATGTTCCACCAATGACAAAATAATTTGAAATATGTTCATAAGCAAAAAAATGTTTGTAGCAAATGAAATATTATGTGATTAAAAACGACGAAGATCTGATACTCACCTCAACCTCATCCAATAACACATTCAATTTATTGTCTTCATTCACGAAGAAAAAAAGCATTTTGGAATTGCTAGAAGCACATAGCTCAGCTGCCTTACGAATTCTTTTGATAAACTCATAGCAGGTCATCGCTGTGTTCTCATGCCAAGGAAGGCAATTACGAAAATGGTAAGAAAAAGCTAAATAATAGCACTTACACAAATCCAAAAAGTATAAAATTATAACAAATAACCTTCATATTTAAAACTTCTATGTCCCAAGTTCAGTCTTCGAGCATCCCGCGCCCCATTAACAACACTTTCAATAAATTCATTGGACCACAAAGAGCATAAAGGTTCCCAAAACTCAATTTCAGGAAGTTCAGATTCATCAGTACTGAAAATATCCAGATCATAACGTTTGGTAAAAATACACAAAAACTAAGTAATCCCCGTCGTCTCCCTTAAGCCATCAAAATAACCTTCTAAAAATCCTCTAATTTCAAATAGTTCCTAACACAAACTTTAAAGATACAAGAACAAAATACCTTATTTATCCTACTAGCAACAGAACAACTAACTTGTAGAAGAGAAATTCCTTCGTGTATACAGGCTCAACGAATCCATTTTTAAATATAAAGTCAAAATACCTTTCTAGCAAGGGGAAAAGATAATGCTGCAAATCCATGATGATACCCTGCTAAAATTTCAAAACGATTTGATAGACTAGGTAAGCATACAATTTGCAACTTATAGTTTCAAAAAAATGTAAAAAATTTATCCAAATGGTAAAATATAAAAGTAATTTATGAATAAGGCAAGACGACTGACAAAATATATGAAAACCGTATTCAAATATGTAGGTGAATAATAGTCAGGCACTTACTGGAGCAAGTTATTTATAAAAAAGCTGATAAAACAAACACGGAAATCAGCTGAAAGAGCTTGTATTAGCGTGTATGGCTAACAATTATTCAAGTAAATTTAATGACGAATTTTCAAATTTTTCTTGAAAGCATCAAAAACCCAAAAAACGTTAATGAAAAAACACACCATAATATAACCTTTACTGAAAAGAACCTGCCCTTACGGTTTTCAACAAAAAAGGTTGAGTAAATAAGATACTACTGCTTAATAAGACGTTGTCTTAAAAATATCAGTAACGTCTCGTTTTTTCTTGAATCTGCTCAATTTCTAATCAATATAAGTGCTGCCTACGAGAACTTTAGTATTACTTTTTCAATTTACTATTAAGTAGAAAGAACCAATAAACAAAATCTTCTGCTACTAATCGCCAAATAAACTCTGCATTGAATTAGCTTCAAAGTACGAATCATTTTTTATCACGCATCTGCTGAAGTAACGAAGAATTACAAAATGCAGACAAACTTTAAAATATCTTTCGAAATAATAGTTAAAGAAATAACCATTTTCAGTGTCTGCATTTCAGTAAAGGTCATTAAACGTAGAAAACGCTCCAAAAACCGTTCACTAGTTTCAAAAGTCCACTTATCCTCTGAGAGGATAGTTGACAAAACATTAAAAGTGATTGTTATTGGTTGAATCACTTCAAATAAACTGGTAAACAAGGTTTGAAGACCTAAAAAACCACAACTTAGTTAGTGTTTAAATGTCTTATAAGACAGCTATAAGAAAAGAATAGGAAGTCCATAGAATTGTGAAAAAGAGAAGAAAAAAAGTGACCCAAACTAGTGTCAGTATAATAGTTTTTGATAGCATCAGCGTGTTTTGATAAGAAATGCACGCAAAACTCCTGCAAAACTGTGCCTGTAGCAGTTTCCAAATTTTTAGCAACAAACCGTGATATTGCCATCAGTTGCTTTCTTGGTTTTATAAACGGCAATATATAAGAATCAATCTATAATATCAAGACCAATAATAAATCAGAAATGCAAAATAAGAAACAGCAAACCAAAGTAAATCCACCTCGAAGTAATTCTACCTTCGAAGAGACAGCAACAAAGTTACCTACCGGTTTATTGTAACTCTCAAATTGGAGGAAGAACTTTTTGTTCACGGAGTACGAGTCTCCAAATTCTTCAAAGATAATGAAGTCTTCTTCCTTGCCGAGATCAAGAAAGCTATAGCACATCAAAATTATCTGCGTTGTAAAATTTTATGACTGAAAAACCTATGAAAAAAATAAAGCCTAAATCTTCTATGTCCTAAATTTACCTGATTAAATAGTTAATCAGATTTGCTTCCGTAAGCGCAACATTCTTCCCATGTGATCTGAAAAATTTACGGTACAGTTCAGAATTAACATTAAGAAAACAAGAGAGAAAACAAGAAAAGAACACCTGATTTCATACGCCTTCCGAGCCCTCTCATGCGCAAGAAATAAAAGTTCGTCTTCTTTCTCCCAAATTATTGGCCTTATACCTCTTGGAATACGAAACAGTGCAGAACTTCCTTCTACTGCTCTATTACCTTCATAATCTCTATTATCCATATGACTGAAACGCCAGCTTTTCTCACCATTCAAAAAGTGACATCCTCTACAGCATGAGTCGACTAGCATGCACAGAAACCATAATCAGTTAATAACACTTCCAAACCGAACAAGAGCAGAACTCTCGAGAGTAACAGAAAGTCCATACTGCAATAAATCCCTCAGTCAACTTACCTTCTCTATCCCTACACCGCTCCCCGCTAAAATAACTTCTTTCTAAAACCAGAACATTCTCAAATACTGCAGCCGTTACTACAGTGCATTACAATATCATCCGTCAAACAACGTTTCCAAATATTTCCTAGCAAAAAATTTGAGAATAACACTATAATGATTATTATTTAGTTGTTACTGCTAAATGATTCTTGAATAGCTCAAAAAATAACGCCTCTTCAGCCGCGTATATAGGAGAACGTAAAGTGCAGACTCCTACAGATGCTATTTTATTTAACTCTTCAAAAACTAAACCTAGATTAGGCGAAAACACGAACACCGATAAAATAATAAAAAAGCAAAACGGAACTGGAACTAACTGTAGAGCAGCAACAATCAAAACTGTGAATTCTTAGCAGTTGAGTTTTCTAAACAGAATATCCTAACAATTTTAATTATTGGGCCAAATAAGAAAAACGCACAAACCAATCAGAAGAATAAGACAATAGAAAAAGTATTCTCAAAGATGAGATTTATTTAAAATTAGTTACGCAAAGACAGTGAAACTTCGGTAAACACTCACTCTACCTCGTACAGGAAGAAGGCTCTGACTAAATTCAAAGCTGTAATAAATCTCAAACATAAAAAAATATACAATCTTTCAAATATAGCTTTTTAACAAACAATGTAAGAAACAGATTCCCTCAAACTAATGCACAATTAAGTAGACACAGATTGTAGACTACAGACAAAACAAACAGTACCAGAATGCAGTAAAAAGCTGAAAAACCATAATTTTGACAGATGAGAAGAACAATGATTGAATGGTTAGAGCTCATTAACAATGAACCAAAAAATATAATTATTAAGGCATGACAACAACTGTAAACCAAATGATTACGATCTAGTAAAATATGTTCAGGACTTCATAAAACCTATTAGATACAAAAATGGTCAGATAAACCAAGGTGGGGCTCACTCCTCCGAAATAACTTCCATCTTAAAGTTGCAATACGGGCACGTCCGATTTAAGAAAATTGTCCACAAATTTATCGAAATCGGTATTAAGAAAAGAAGTTTTCCCTCTGAAAAAAAAGAAGTCTCAAAAGTTAAACCAAGATCTCTCCATTTTTATAGCCCTTGACGACTATCAAATAAAAATGACTCAATAAAAAATAAGCGTAGGTGGAGAGCTATGTAAAGATTCCGAAAGCTTTACTTGATGGTGCTAAGTCCTTTGACGACTCCATCAATTTTAGAAATCTTTTCTCGTTCTCCATCTAATGCAGATTTCATTTCTCGGTGCACACCCCCAATTGTGCTTTTCAAGCCCTTGTAGACTTGCTCCATTTCACTACAATTTCATAGTGAATAACGAAAGAGAGTCAAACAAGCAGTGCGTAAAAATAAAAAAAAAAACTAACCGAACAACTTGTGAAACGGAAAGGGCTGTATGAGCTGATGAGACACCACGCATCCTTTCAGCCAAATGAGATCTGAACTGGTCCTTAAGATGTTGTTCCTTAGCACCAGAGTTCCATCGCCATCTTTCTAAAGCATATAACCCACCATACACTAAACCACCACACAGTATCAAACGCCAGTCCACTGTCTTGTAGACCTGCAAATAATTGTTCACATTTCCAGGGCAATCTATAGGCGGAATAGATAAAAGCAAATGTGGAGCATACCAGGCCGCCAAGAAGGAAAAGGCTAAGGCCTCCATGTGCAAGGTAACTAGAAGATGAAAGTATAACTTTGGCAATTAGTGCATTTTCGGGAGCATCTGCTAAAGTACCCTTCCCATTGTACTCGTTATGCATATCTTTTCTATGATCTTGAGCCGACCTTTCACTACGGTTTTGAGGAGTGCCTACAGCCTAAAAGTGACAAAATAATAAACACAACAAAAAAGTAGATTAAACAATGCTCTGTCGTTCTAAAATTAACCATTTATTTTTCGCTTTAACAGCACTTCTAAGATAATAACATGGTTTAATACCAGTTGGTCACTCAAACGTTGATTAGTTACAGCCGTTACGGGCTGCCCTAAACCGTAGGCTACTAGTCGACGAACCAAAGAAGTAAGCCCTAAAGAGAACCGAAACTCTAAATCTTCAGCAAAATCATCCATCAATGACTGGCAGTTAACCGAAACAGAAAACTGAAATGGCAAGCGGTACCGCCAAGCCTGCAAAAAAATATCACTGGCATTACATTTAACGGCACGTTCAACAAACAAAATTAAAAAAATATATAATGCAAAACTGAAATAAGAGTGACTGGTTGACTCGCAAGGTAAAAATATGTAATACTCATGCACCTCTTCAAACTTCTGGACATAAGGCTCAGCCAAAATACTATGAATCCGATCTAAAAAATACCAGTTTATTCGCAATGATCGCAAGCAACGGTAAAAAAAATTCAAAAAGTAGTTTTAAAACTGCACCGTAAACATCCTTTTCAAGACTTCTGATTCTCTCCATCAAACCGAGTATACATTGTTTCTGTAAATCTTCGGCAATAGCGCCATCCACGAATTCAGTCAAAACCTAAAAACCACAAACTATTTAGAAATGTGAAGTCAAGCGACTGACAAATAAATGGAACTAACTTGTTTATATGCTTTGATTGATTCAGGATCGTCCACAAATTTATATTCAAACCCGTCTATAATTTTTCCAAGGTTACTTATTTCTTCAGCGAAATCCGCAGATACTTTCAATTGTACCTGGATTTAAAAAGTGATAATTCTAAACTATCTGTAAACAAAAAATCCTCCAATGTCCTCAATATACAACGCATAATCAGACATGTAAGTGCAATATACTGAATGAGAAACGTGCTATCTTGGATTAGCTGGTAAACCAATAAACACACTCTTACTGCAAAAAAAAAAAACCAACTTCAAACTGAAGTTTACGAGCCTCCGTTATAAAATTCTTTTCAAACTCGTTCCAGTTTTGTAAACACTGTTTGAATGCAGCCTCGTTAACGGAGAATTTTTCTTCCTGATCTCTCCTGAAAAAAAAAATAAGCAGTTGTCAGGAAAAGTCGGCATAAATGTGAGAAATTTGTTTAAAAAATTTTGACAAATCACCTTTTCTCTAATGCAGAAATTTTCACAGAATCTAGATTTGCTCTTAAAGCTTCCACAATTTCACGCCCTCGTCTTACGTGAGCCTCAAATTTCGTGTTGATAGCTGACTTTGAAATTACTTGCTGAAACAATAGAACTTTTAATCTAGGATAGCCGATGATACAATGACAGAAATAAAGTTAAGGCCATTCTTACATTTTAAACTTCAGAGCACTACTTACGACAACTACCTTACTTAAAACAAAAAGCAATTTGAAAAACAGCACAAGTAAGCGATAAAGAACATTGAACATATCCATTCAAACTACTCCTTTACCACTACCGTTAATGATTCGCTACTCTGCTTTTAAACCATACAGAAATAAACGAAGAAACATTAGAGACAAAAATGACACCTAGACAAGTCACCGTTACTAAATGATTAGAAGCAGCAGATAACCTCAAATTGCGCCTCAAAATTGTTGAATTCAATCGTCCTAAGCTGGTGCCCCTCCAGTTGATACGCTGTAAATAAAATCTTGATCAATAGAAATCTTACAAATACCGTGACTCACAAACCTCTGCTTATTACTCCAAGAGCCTTCAGCCTGGATTCCAACATTTCACGAGCGGAAATAAAGAAAACTCGGTTTTTAACTTCCACTTCATTACACACCATCAACTCGTCGACAAGAAACTGCTTGAATCTCATTTGATGTTGCTCTCTAACCTAAAATATAGCAATTTCCACATAAACACTATTCGCAGAACAAGTTAACCCTGGAATAGCAAAATAACGTAAAAGAAGCACAACAAAAGACATTAATTAATAGACAGAAAACCACACTTAAGCTGCACTTCACAACAAAAAGTAGGATCCGGTAACAAATCACAAAAAAGCATGCAAAACAAGCCAACACAAAAAGCGAACTCAACTTTTGCACCTGATTAATATGCTCCACTTCAGAAGCACTTGCGTCCCAACGATTGTTAAGTATGAATATATTAGGTCTACTTAGTTTCATACTGACACGATGAAAAAAATTCTTCTCCGCCTGCGTAAGCGTTGACTCAGCATTACATACAAGTACGAAAACATCAGCGTCCAGACAATGCTTGTCGATCCAGGAGTCGAATTCTGGTGAAAGATCAACTCCAGGACTAAAATTTAACACTTACAAAAAACGACAGTATCATATAGTAAAAAACAAAAATAACAAGTCAAAGTACTGTCCATAACGAGTTAAAAAATTTAAACTTCCGTATGCTCTGGATCAAAAGAATTTAAACGAACATAACCACATTCACTGAAAAACAAAAAAATCACATCTTTTTATCTCCGAAAACTTTGAAAAAAACATCAGTCTTTTTTTGGAACTGCGTACCAACGCTCTTATTTAAAAATACATTTAACGGTATAAAGTGAAAAACATAAATAACACTACACTAAAATCGAAGCAACTGAATCCCTTCACAAAAAATCAGTTCCTCTTTAGAATAAATGTCAAATTCCCGATAAAAACATGATAACTTTTAGATGTGCTGTTTATCTTTAAAAAACCTTAAATAATAAACTGAACTGGGCTAAAAACAAGCGAATCAGACTGAAAGTGAAACTGAGTACTCATTAACAATTCTAAATGCCCAAGAAATGTTGTATGTGCTGAGGAAGCCGAGTCAAAATGCTAACGGCTCTGGAGCACTCCTAATACTGCAGGAAACACTTTTACTGGAATACTTTCCAGTAGTACTTTCAAAAACCAAACCCAAGAAATCAAAAGCCGATTCTAAACTAATGGCACATGAAAAAAGCAGTGTTCTATACAAGCTTCAAAGTTATATGAAAACGAAAAGAAAGAATTTAAGCTCACATATGAAATTTCTTGAGCGTTTAGTATCGTTAGTAGCTACTCAGCCCCACTCTTTTCTGAAACGGGTATAGAAATGAATGATTAACCTGTCAACAAACACAACATCGTTCTGTAGCAAACGTGAAGAAGACTTTGGGTAATAAACAGTTAAAAGTGAATCTTGTCCTAAAGTGGGTAACGTAGCATTGTCGTCGCTCATGGCGTGACCAAGTTTGTTCAATTCTTCAAGTTCAAACCTCTGACCATCCTCTGACATGATGTATTTTTCATCATCGGCACTACCTTCTACCTACAAAGTAAATGGCTAAATTGCATCACTCTAAAATGTGAATTACAGATATTTTAGCAAAAAAGCCCGTAAAAAGAAGTCTTAAATTATTAATTTAAATCTGAACTAGATAGAAGGTACCAATCATATCTTCCTGTTTCGAAACCTTCTTTCGTGACAAAAAAAAAATACTGTAAATCAACAGCGGTATTTCTAGTAAGAAGTCACAAAAGACACAACAAGTTGTAATTTAAGTGACAACCCTTAAACACTAATACTAAAAAGTGTTAAGTACCTGAAGAAAACAACAAGTTGTATGCCCCATCCCTTGAGGTAGAACTTTCGAATGAAGCATTGCATTAATTACTGTACTCTTCCCGTTACTTGTTCTGCAAAATACACAAGCTAAAAAAAACAAAACCAAATAGGTAGAAAAAACGGAAAAAAGTATAGAAACCCGCGAATGCTCACTAAAAACATGCAGAAATTACCTTCCAAAAAAAACGACTTTCATATTATCTCGCAGAAACATTTCTCTAATGGTAGCTAAACTATCCTCAAACTTCTTCACTTCCTGCATCCTTTCGGCAGGAACAACATCTCCGTTTTCAGAAACATCTACAAGGAAAAATCATTATATTGAACTCCTCCTACTGTTTACTGCAGTAAAAGTGGCTGACAGAATCTAATGAAAAAAACCAAACAGACCGCAGTAGTATGCATACAATTCCTTCACATTTGTTTCCAGTCGTCCAAATATATCTCCAATAGCTTTTTTTGCTTCTGCAAACCTTTTAAGAGGCTCATTACCATTACGCCTCGGACGAGTACGGCCTAAATAGTCAAGAGTTGTGGAAGAAATCAAGGTATGAAGCCTATTCACTGGCTACCAAATCTTAAAACCTACACAAAATAAAATAAAATCTAAGTGTTATGTAGTAACAAAAAAAAGTTAGTTTTAACATCACCTTTACCTCAAACAATTATGTGCACATAAATGAAGAAATGGAAGAAAAAAAAAGTCACAAGTTCAGATGCCAAAAATTGGAATAATTCTAAGATGTCAAATTAGCAGGTACAAATTTATTGGCAGAATAACGATCATTACAACAAAAAATGTCGACCCTTCTAGAAAGAAACATAATATCAAAAAAATTTTTTTACAAAGATAAAGTACACCAATCAACTGAAGTTATTCAGTGAGATTTGCCTTAGCAAAAGAAAAAAAACAGCCTCGAAAATATATTTACCAAACGTTGAAAAAAAATTAGAAACTTTATTTTTGCTTGGATACCAAAATTGGTCACCACTTCGACCCCTACGTGGTACATTTCTGACGTCAGTTATCAGTAATAAACAACGTATAAAATTTTTGGCCATAACAAGCGCTAATAACATCAATAGATATTTTTGTCAATATTTTTTTCTCGCTATTTTAATGACAAAACCGACAAGATGCATAAAAGGTATATCGTTAAGTACTCTTTAGAACCAAAAATACAAATAAACAAATAAAAACTGAACTCTTTTTTGCTCCTTTTTCTTTTTCAGCTATTATTCAGTTCTTCTCTTTATCCTACATTTCTTCTTACTCATCACTGTTTATTTTTACACTGCTCTTCGTGTTTTAAATTCTTCTTTGTATTCTGCACTCAAAGATTAGCTATAAAAAAATATAATGAAAAAATTACCATGACGAGGTTCAGTGGAAGGTCCTTGATAACTGGATGAATTAATTATTGTGGCTTGTGTGCCAGACAACTGAGAGGACATTGAGATCTCTATAAGTGTCCGTAAAAACGGACAACAACCAATTTTTCAACTAAAACTTAAGGACACGATAAACGACTGCCGGATTCGTGGACAACAGGAGCAGTAACAGTGCGGGAAACTTTGTTGAAGAACACCGTTGTTCTTCCGGTAAGTCGCATTAGTCGTCGACGGACAAACTTCCCAGTGGCAATTGTCCAATCCGCAGTAAGGCAACTCGTTACAGCTGAATATATGCCTTGACGGCACTCGTCGACAAAAACGCAAGCACTGAACTACAACCACGGAAATCTACTACCGCTACTGTTATTGCTATATGCCCAGCACAGGCTAATCTTTTTGATGATCACTACTGTTATGTTCTACAATTCTGCCAGTGAATCATCAACTTGCTACAATGTTTACATTATCTGTTGGATGGCCAAGTAGTAATGTATAATGGTTTTTGTGTGTGAATTTGTGTACTTTTCGTCTTTAGGCCATCAACTGAAGACAATAAAATTGTTGAACAGCAATAAACCTCAGAAATCCTTTGTTAAAAACTCTATGTAGCCTCCAATTGGATTACTAAAGTACGAAAAAAACACTATCATACGGTGTAGCATTGCTGCCAATTTAACTGTGAACGTTAAAGTATATAATGAACAATCACATATTAATCTACTAATATTTTAAGGAAAAAAAGCATCAGCAAAAAGTAAGCAGCAAAAATGATAATTGTTCAACAACTAATCAGCATCTAAAATAAAACCATAAAGTATTTAAGATATACCAAAAGTTTTACTACAGTCATCCTCAACCTACTTAAAACAATAGTGATTACTGTAATTATTAAAATGCGTGGCAATTTTTTTCAGTAATAAATTAATGAATTAAGCCACTGATACATAAACTATCGTTTATAAATGTTTTATATGACAAAATTGTTGCTTGCACTTAGAGAGCAGTACCACTTCTGATTACAACTATTAGTCGTATGAAACTAGAGCCTATTAAAAATTGATGAAAATTAATTGCAGCTTTTTAACTGTCGTTTTTTCAACAATAGTTGCTTTCGTTGGCAACATTTTTTTGCCTAACAATACCCTTTTGAAAATTGGCATACCTGAACAAAGTACTTTGAGAAATGGTAGGTCAAAGTTTCATTGCCAAACTTCTGCTCATTTATGTGAAACTTTAAGTTTATGAACCGAAAAGTTGCGTAATCAAAATCGATAATAGTAATCTTAGCTTGAATTAAAATTTTTTTCTAAAGTTTGCATTTTTCATTAAAAAAAAATGAAAAGTTTTCAGCGTAAAAGCAGTGAAGTACTATTTCAAAACAAGTTTTCAATCATTATCAAATTTAAAAGTCATAAACAGATGGAATGCGTGCAGAGATTATTAAATCTCAGTAGAAAAAAGGTAACAGGAAAATAAGATTAGTCTGGTCGCTGGACTCTTTAATCTTCTAATATTCTTCAGCAGATTTTTCACTTTTTGAGTTTACCAATGACTCCGACAACTCAGCAAACAACACTTTGAAAAGGACTAAATATTTTTAAACTTGAAACTGATTAGGTTTATTTGCTATACCTTTTTTTAAAAATTTTTTGTAATATTTGTATGAAAGTTAGGCTTGAATTTCGTTTTCCTCATAAGAGAATTTCGATTTTGCTTTTCTTCTACACCTTTTTTTTTCTAACAAACTCAGTAATTTGCATTAAAGCTGACGATTTTAGCGCATAATTCGGGACGGCTAAAGTTTCTCATTTTCAGTTTTAATTTAAGAAATTATTTACAAGTTTTTTTCTGCGTTAAAGAATTTATCGTACGAAACAAACTGTGCTCACCTGCCGATAAACAGTAGTTTAACAATTTTTTCATCGTGTAAATTCACACTGTTTTTAACTGTACCAAAAAATTTAAAGATTGATTATATAAACCGCTCTCGTTTACTAATAGCTTCTCCGCTACTGTTTAAAAATATGTTAAAATCTAATTTATTAGAGAAGAAGTTCTGTTCAGATATTATGAAATGATCCCTTGTAAAACTGAGATTTCCGACTTAGTAAAGCTTGTCAAAGCAAACGTTTGTTTTCAGTAGTAACATTTGGCAACCTATGATTTATCAAACGTAAAATATTAATGTATCTCAAATTGCAGCGATGTTATTTCTTCATCGCTCTGCAATAAGGAAACGTATAACGTCGTGGAAGAACTTTCAAAAGATGAAAGTTATCTGAAAAATTACATAATCTTTGCAGAAAAAAAAGGGTAAAATTACTTTAGGATAATTCCGGTCCTGAAAAGTGATCTACTATAATGTTTGAATCATACAAAAGATACGATTTGAAGTCAACAATTGTAGTTTTTGTCACATTTCCTTAATTTTAAAGTAGTAATACAAAAGTGATTTTGTACTGAATAACTGTTACATGTGGAAGACAAAATTAATGCAAGGTAATTTTAGCTATTTAAGTATTTTTTATTAGATGACCTTTGTCTATCAATATTTTGATACTTTCAAAAGTTTGTGAAAGTTGTTGGCTTGTCACTGTTTCAATGAATGATACTATCTTGCTGTTCTTATTTCTTATTTTTTTTCTTCATCTCATTTCGTAGCACAAAATAAGGGGTGCGCAACTGAATAATTAATTTTTGGAAATTTATGTTACATAGAAGGTTTTGATTCTTTCTGTCAACTTTTTTATAAACTAAATTTTTATCGTACCATAGTTTGCTGTTCTCACAATGTTCATGAAAGCTGTGCTGAAGTGCTGATCGTAAACAATTAGCTACGTCTTTAAAACTGTTATTACTCTGTCGCTGTAAACACTGTATATTAGGTTGTTTTCATTTAAAAGCTTTATCGTTCTACAGTAAAGATAAATTTATTTTTCATGTAACCAATAATTAAATTACTCGTTATCTGCTTTAGGCCTGGTTCCACTTACCACTTGGAACTGTTGTGTTTGAAATGTACGATATACTGTTCAAATTTTTTAGGCTCCTGACTCACAGGCAGTACAGTTCGCGCTGTGACGAAGCCTATTGAACCCTGTTCGAATACGTACTTCTGTCTTTAGATTTAATGTTATTCAGTCAAAAATTGTATGATAAAGTAATTCCTTCTTTAATCTATCTTAGGCAGCTCTAATATTCAATGTATGCTGTAATCAAATTTTTCAGTTTACGTTTGCCGTGTAACTTTTCTATAGCCTCTTTTCAAGCACAAAGTTGGGTTTTTCCAATTGTTACATAACGACATAACTTTTTGAAAACTTTTTCTACTTTTTACTAGTCGAATCACTTTAGAACCAATTTATAAAATTACAAAACCTCTACTGACAGCGTAATACAGGTCATTTTAAAAATTTAATAATTCTTGGTATTACCATATAACGGTTAAACCAACACTTTCAGTCAGGTAACTGCATACAATAAGTAACATATTGTAAAACTTGGAAAACTGAAGCTTCTTCTGTACTTAGATTCAGGTTTAACCTTAGGCTTAAGCTTAGACTTAGGCAAACAAAGATTTTAGGGAAAATATTATATAGGTTAGAAATTATAGATGCTTATTTAAAAAAGGGAGAGGAAAAAAGGTAGGAGAGAAGGCGAAATTTATTGAAAGTATTTATATAGTAATAAGGTTTAAGATTTAAACGTAAGGTGGGGTTAAGGTGCGTAAAATAAAAAGAAAATAAGAATTAAAAAGTATTTTTTGGAATTATAGAAGTACTTGACGGCTTAGGTTTAAACTCAAGCTAAGGTTTAGCCCAAAAAAAAGGCCTAAGTTGAAGTAAAGCTATAAGACGTAGGTTCAGACTTAGTCTAAGCAAAGACTTTGGCTTAAGATTTAGGCTGAAGCTAAGGTGGGTTTGAGGTGTATAAAAAATAAACAAAGATTGAAATAAAAAATTCGAAGGCTCAAGTTTAAGCTCAACTTAAAGCTTGAGCTTAAAGAATTATAAAATTGGGCTTAGCTTCAGCAAAGACTTAGGCTAAAGTAGAGCTATAGAACATAAACTTATCCTTAAGTTTAGGCTTAGACTTCGGCTTCGGCTTAGTAAAGAGTAAGAGTAAAGAGTAAAGTTTAGGCTTAGGTCTAGACTTAACCTTGGGCTTAGGCACAAAAAGTTACGTTTTTCAGAGTAACAGTTTTATGGTACCTTTTTAAAAAAGAAGAGGTTCCATAACCGCAGAACAATGTACTTAAGTTTTTTTTCATTTTTCTTCGCGGAAAATTTCAGTTATTTTATAAATAATAAACAATAGCATCAGTAAGACGATAATACTTCAACTGCCAAGTACCGTCGCTTTTTTTATCAAACTGAGAAGACAAAGGTCTTTACAAGTACCCTCAGCTGTGACAATTTAAGGACTGCGGGTGACTAAAGTATTGTTTTTTTATTTAGATAAAGGTACCTTTGCTCCAACAAAGTAAGTTAACTTTTTTACTGAATAATATCTATAAGATGAAAAAAAAACATACAAATTGACAAACAATTTTTGATTACAGGACGATCATTACGTAAATTGCCAGTTATGTAAAATTTCTTTTTTTTCTACTTGTCATTCTGACACTACAGCTAAATCATCGTTCAGAATTATTAGCAAGATTTCTACCAAAGCCTCTTCCACTTAGGCAATTAGCAAAAATTTTGAAAATTTTTGTATTAAAGTTTATAACAAAGCTTTTTTTTGAGATATAAATTTACAAAACTTCTGGCTAGGTTTTTTGCTGAACAGTTCATTTGAAGTCAATTTTGAATGTGATTTAGAAACAGTAAAATAACTACTGGCCTTTAAATCTTTACCCTTTTAACAGGTTTTTTTATGACACCCAATTTTGTCAAACGGCAATGAAAAGGTTTCTGTATAGAAACTACGTGATTTGTTGCAGCCTGTTAGCTTTTTAAAATGTCTATTTTAAAAAAAGCACACGACGGTTTGTTACGTCTAAATGATTAGTTTCAAATTAGTTTCATCAGTTAATAATAACTAGAAATTATTCTGTA